CTATCATTTTTCACTTTGATGTACGATTCTATGTTTCTAGAAATTTATCTATTTTTATTTCCTAAGTTTTTAACTTAGTCTATAATTTTTATCATTTCATAGTATTCCTCAATTTCTTAAACATTCTCTTAATTCCGTTTCCTTCAGTATCCAGGGCTGTTTTTTCACAGTCTTTTAATTTCCTAGTGACATTTTTTATTTCCAGGTGTATTTTTCTTACAATACGTTGAACATGTTTGTGATTACCTATTGAAGAGTATTTTATTTTATGTTGTTGGTAGTGCAGATTACAGATGTTTACATGTTTCTCCTATTATTTCCTTTTCTTTTCAGAAGAGGGACATCTACTTTGATATCTTAGATATGTCCCATTAGTTTAAATTGTTATGTTCCTATCTCCCATGACTTTATTCTGTTTATTCTGAAGTACAAAAGTCTAGATTATCTTATAATAAAACAGAAGGTTCTAACTGATATACTGTGCTTATTAATATCATTGATCCTTTTGTTTCATTCAAAATTTTATAGGTGTGTGTGTGAGAGTATATGTGTGTGTGCATGCATGTGGGAGAGGGAGAAAGAGCTTGAGCAACTACAGTTGCTAAAATCGCCAATATTTTCCTTAAAATTATAAATTTTGTTTTTTTTTACTTGTTAGTGCCACAGAGCAGTCCAATTTCAGTGTGTTAAGTATTATTTTAAGAATTTTTTTTTCTTCATAGATTCTGCAATGTTTTGAGTATATTCTTGAAAACAAAATTGTTCACAGGGACACACTGGTTGTTAGTCATTCTTTGATTTTCTCTGTTGTTTCATGAGTTCTCACTATTAAATGATTGATCTCTCTTTGCTTAGTAACATCTTCATTACCTTTCTTACTATTTATTATTCCAGCTCCATTTGTTTGGCTCACTTTTTCAGGGACATTAATTATTTGTCTTAGGCAGTCTTAGGCAGGCTGCCCCTGGGATTTTTTTCTTTCTTTTTTTAATTAGAGGCAGGGTCTCGCTATGTTGCCCAGGTTGATCTCCAACTCCTGGGCTCAAGCCATCTTCTCATCTCTGCCTCCCAAAATATTGAGATTACAGGTGTGAGTCACCATGCCCGGCATGGGATTAAAAAAAAATACACAGGTGTAGATCACATTTAGTACACATGCTTAGATTACATTTAGTATATGACCAAGTTAATTAAGAAGTCAAAAAACATGTTAAATTTAAGAACAGATAGATTGGTTGTGGTGGGTCACGACTGTAATCCGAGCACTTTGGGGGGCTGAGGCAGGTGGATTAGCTGGGGCCAAGATTTCTAGACCAGCCTGGCCAACATGGCAAAACATCATATCTATTAAAAATACAAAAATTAGCCAGGCATGGTAGGGCACCTGTGATCCCAGCTACTCAGGAGGATGAAGCATGAGATCACTTATACTTGTGGGCAGAGGTGGCACTGAGCCAAGATCAGGCCACTGCTTCCAGCTTGGGTAGCAGAGTCTCTGTTTCAAAAAAAAAAGTACAAATAGTTCTTCGAAAATTTTCTGACATTTATTTACTTCTTGACAAACATATAAGTGGGAAGAGCCATCAGTATAAGCCTCTTTTAATTTTAGTCTTTATCCTTAAAATTGCCTGAGTTCTTAGAACACAGAAAAAACAAATTTAAATGCATTTGAAACAGTTTAATAATTTATATGTCTCATTATGATCTTTTAGTGGAATGTTTTAAAGCCAAAGCACAATTTACTGCAAAGATAAATTAGAAAAGGCAAATAAACTTTTTAATAATATGTTATAATGACCTGAGCAAAATGGATTATTAACTAGTAATATAATAATTAGCACATGCAATAGATTGAGAAATTAAATCCTGTGCTACATACTCTTAAGTATTTTGTCGGACATGAGATATATTTAAATGTTTCCATCAATTGGATTCCTTTTGCCACATATATTAGTTTTTATTTAAAACAAGAAAACCCTTTTCTTTCCTCCAAATTCTCATGTTAATCAGTGCATAACATTGCAATTTTAGTAAAAATTGTTTATTACAATGTTATTTTAGAAGCGGTATTCCACAAATGATCGAAAATGTACTTAAAAGACATCCAAATTATGAGAATAATCAACTTCAGTGGCTTCCTCTGCATCCAACTTGGCTTCTCCATGTCCTTCCTGTGACTCATCAAGAGAGGCCAGGGCCTCATTTGTGTCACCTGCAAAAGTTTCTCATGATATATTTTCATCTTGAAAATTTAGACTTTTAATAGCTTATTTCATTTTTCCCCCAAGAGTTGTGCTCTTCTCTTCCTAGCAGCTTTTTTATTTTCAGATTCCTTTTGATTTTCAATGTAGAAAACATCTTTAATTTGTTCCTTACTGATACTAGGAATGTTTTTCAAGAGATTCAGAAAAAGTCCAGCTAGTGTTCTTCTTCACCTACCATTCATTATAAAGAGGCCTCCATTTCGTTCCACTTCAGCACTTTCCATCAGAAGAACTTTTGTTCCATCAGAAGAACAATTGTCTTTTTGTTTCCATTAGAAGAACAATTGCCTTTTGTTCCCAATAATCCTGACTACTTGAGCTATCAGATCTTTCTGTGGTTCCTATAACCTGAATGAAATTTCATCAGCCACTGTCTCTTGAGAATCTTCCTCCATGATCTCACATCAATTTTTATGGTTTATTTCTGTCTGTTCCCTAGCCTGTCTTTGATAGGTCATTTCCTTTCGAGATGACCTTGCCCCTTTTCCTCTTCCTTTGATACCATTTTTTTTTGCCACCATGCATATATTCATCTAATTCCTTGTCTAGTCTTCTTGTATGCTCTTGAGAGTCTCTATTAAGTTTCTTAGCAAGCAAATAATCGTAGGTCTCAGACTTCCTGCTTCATTCCCAACATACCAAGTTCAGTGGCCACTGCCACTGAAGTTGCAGAAGGCCACTAACCTTCTTTCCTCTAGCAACAGGTGGTTTCTGACTGCTATGGTCAAACTGAAAAGACTGATTTGGGATGAGGGTTAAAACATTTCTGTCATTTGTGCTTCCAAAGACTGTAATCATTATCTGAATTAGAAAAACTCTCTTCTCTTGAATCCACACTTTTAACAGCTCAATACTGTGATACTGGTGCACACACAGTTTCCGTGGTCTGGAAGGCCCTCATAAGCATTGTCCCCACCTAGCACTTTCCACACTTGCTGTGGCCTGTCGCTGGGTGCTACCATTATGTCAGAATCTGAGTCATGTCAGAAATCTGCCCATCTTCCATGTCTCTGGCCTCCAATGCCATCTTCCCATGGTGTCTATTCCTATATTTTAGCCAACTTTATTTTCATCTCTGTTGCCTAGAAAGCCTTTAAAGACTACATTATGTTTTCCTGTCCCCCTCTAAGGTACAATATATTTCTGTATTTTGACTTCCATTGTGATGTGTTATAATCAATTACTTAAATATTTTCTCTATTCTAAGCTTCAATGAATAATTAATCATTGTATAATCAGTGCTGTCACAGAAATTGAATAAACAGACTTTCTTTTTATATCATTTAAGATTCTGTCTCTTGTTTCATAACTTTCTATCCATGAATGTTTTCCTTTGAAATTTCACTCAAATGTTTCTTATATTTTTTTACAGATTTTTTTTGTGGGAATCTGTTTTGTTTTTTTCCAATTTTCCTGTTCTTGAAAGAGAAGTAGTCAGGATCTCCTTGGACCCACTTGCTTTCCACAGAGTTGTAGCCTAACATTCCTCTCAGATCTTAATTTTGAGAGTCAGTGGATTATGCAGGTACTAAGAATCAGTTGTCAATTATAGATATGCTGGACCAAAGAGGAAACTCCTAACATTGTTTCCCATAGTCTGATTTGGCAAGAAAAAATAAGTATCATGTGATTTGAAGTAGTCTACAATTCTTACATTGAGTGAGGGGGAAAATGCATTAAAACAACCACACTCTGTAAACATTATTCTCACTCATGCTTTCACCTCTATTATTCCTACTTTGAATAACTTTAAAATAAAATATGATACAATACATGTTTTTTACTGCATATCCTGTCAATTGTTTTGGAACTGGTGTTCCTAAATGCATGCAGAAAGTGCATTAAAACAACCACACATGGCTGGGCATGGTGGCTCATGCCTATAATCCCAGCATTTAGGGAGGCCGAGGCAGGTAGATCACGAGGTCAAGATATCGAGACCATCCTGGTCAACATGGTGAAACCCCGTCTCTACTAAAAATACAAAAATTATCTGCTCATGGTGGTGCGCGCCTGTAATCCCAGCTACTCGGGAGACTGAGGCAGGAGAATTGCTTGAACCCAGGAGGTGGAGGTTGCGGTGAGCTGAGATCGCATCATTGCACTCCAGCCTGGGTAACAAAAGCGAAACTCAATCTCCAAAAAAAGAAAACCACACACTGTAAACAGTATTCTAACTCATCCCTTCACCTCTATTTTTTTCTACTTTGAATAGTTTAAAAATAAAATATGATCAAATACATGTCTTTTCTGCATACCCTCTCAAGTGTTTTGGAACTGGAGTACCTAACTGGATGCAGAAAGGGAACTAATAGTTTTGACAGCAGGTGAAGATGAAAACAATGTATCTTTGCTGAAGGCTGATATATAACAGGTACAAATGGAAACTTTGTACTTACTTTATCTTTCACCTTTTCATCTTTCATCTTCATCTTTTTCATCTTACTTCAGTCCATTGCCTCAGGATCCCTTTCACTTAACCCTGTTACAAAAGTATTAAGTGTGCGAAGAAAATGAGTGTGTGTGAACAAGATCAGGTTTGTTTTAGTAAAAATGCTAACAAGATAATTGAACATAAAAGAGAGGAGAAAGGTGACATATTGCTAATTTCAGTGCTTAGGCTCTGACTAAAGCCTCTTTTTTGTGCCTTTTTTCTTAGCTAACAAAATACCCTTCCTCTTCCAGCTGAGGTGCTGATCTTGTCTCTATCCCTGACATTAAGAGAAGGTCTGAAAAACAGGCTGAGTATCTGACTTCCAATTGAGAGTCTTTCTCCAGGACCACAGTTGGGGATTTATGCCCATACTTACAGCTATGGGGAACTGGACAAGAATAAATGAGTTTATCCTCATGAGCTTCTCTTCCCTGCCTACTGAAATACAGTCATTGCTCTTCCTGACATTTCTAACCGTCTACCTGGTCACCCTGTTGGGAAACAGCCTCATCATTCTGGTTACACTAGCTGACCCCATGCTACACAGCCCCATGTACTTCTTTCTCAGAAACTTGTCTTTCCTGGAGATTGGCTTCAACCTAGTCATTGTGCCCAAAATGTTGGGGACCCTGCTTGCCCAGGACACAACCATCTCCTTCCTTGGCTGTGCCACTCAGATGTACTTCTTCTTTTTCTTTGGGGTGGCTGAATGCTTCCTCCTGGCCACCATGGCATATGACCGCTATGTGGCCATCTGCAGTCCTTTGCACTACCCAGTCATCATGAACCAGCGGACACGTGCCAAACTGGCTGCTGCCTCCTGGTTCCCAGGCTTTCCTGTAGCTACTGTGCAGACCACGTGGCTCTTCAGCTTTCCATTCTGTGGCACCAACAAGGTGAACCACTTCTTCTGTGACAGCCCACCTGTGCTGAGGCTGGTCTGTGCAGACACAGCACTGTTTGAGATCTACGCCATCGTTGGAACCATTCTGGTGGTCATGGTCCCCTGCTTGCTGATCTTGTGTTCCTACACTCTCATTGCTGCTGCCATCCTCAAGATCCCATCAGCTAAAGGGAAGCATAAAGCCTTCTCTACGTGCTCCTCACACCTCCTTGTTGTCTCTTTTTTCTATATATCTTCTAGTCTCACCTACTTCCGGCCTAAATCAAATAATTCTCCTGACAGCAAGAAACTGTTATCATTGTCCTACACTGTTGTGACTCCCATGTTGAACCCCATTATCTACAGCCTGAGAAATAGCGAGGTAAAGAATGCCCTCAGCAGAACCTTCCACAGGGTCCTAGCCCTCAGAAACTGTATCCTATAGACCTTAGGAAGTAAGGCTGAATTCTATTGAATGACAATTAGTTTCATGTTTGGGACACCTGTCTGTCTTTCTTTACATCTCTTTTGAAATGAAGGCCAGCTATTGAAATGGCTATTGCAAAGGTTTGTGGAGAGAAGAGAGCACAGTGTTGATGTAGACCTGTCATTATCATCTGCCAAATTCTTTTACCGGCCCATCATAGACTTACTGTGTTTTTCTTATTGGTGCAATTGGCCAAACCATTCAAGATATTTACTTTGCTAATGAGCACAAATATGACATATATTGTGGACAGTATGAAACTACTTGTAATGTGACCTTGGGGGACATGCAATATGCAAGACAATGATAAGTGTCAACTGTCATCTTGGCCATCATCTTGGTTTGGACAACTCTGACGCCATTTAGTAGAAAAACACTATAATACTTCTAGTACATAATTCTTGTTCTTCATTTCATTTTACATGCCCCTAAGAAAGTGTTGGCTTTTATGTTTATTGATATTTAGCATGGATAGAGAAAAAAGGATCGCTAATCACTATTCATGCTTTTTTATAAGCCCAACACCTTAAAAGACTCCTTCCTTAGGCTACTCTTCCCAAGTAGAATGAGCTATTTCCAATTGTCTCTTGCAAATTCATTTCCATGTTCTTAATCCTTGGTAAAGTAATTTCAAAATTTCACAAACATAATTTCAATCATATGCTGCTTTTTACAAGGCTTACAGTGGATCTTAGCTGACTCCAATATTTTCTTAGTGCCTTTAAAGTTTAAGGTTTTTTATATTGTTGATATGAAAATACAAAATACCATAAAGCACAATCATTGCCATCAGAAGTTAATAATGTAATTAACAATGAGAGATTTAGATGAGGTAATTGCTAAAAGCAAATTCATTTTACAGTTAAGCAAAGTAAGATTCAAGTTATTCCTCCCCAGATGCCAAGCAGATACCACTGTCATGCTTTTACAACCATCAGAACCATGAGTCAATTAAATCCTTTTTTCTTTATAAATTACCCACTCTCAGGGATTTCTTTATAACAATGCAAGAATGGCCTAACACAGAAAATTGGTACTGGGAGTGGGGCATTGCTATAAAGATACCTGAAAATATGGAACCAACTTTGGGATTGAGTAAAGGTCAGAGGTGGGAGAGTTTGTGGGGGGTGCTCAAAAGAGACAGAAAAATGAGGGAAAGTTTGGAACTCCTTAGAGACCACTTTAATGGTGGTGACCAAAATGCTGACAGTGATATGGATGGTGAAGGCCAGGCTGAGAAAGTCTCAGATGGAAATGAGAAACTTACTGGGATCTGCAACAAAAGTTACATGTGTATGCCTTAGCAAAGATCTTGGCTGCATTCTGTTTATGCCTTAGGGATCTGTGGAAGTTTGAACTGAGGAGTTATAATTTAGGGTGTCTGGTGAAGGAAATTTCTAAGCAGCAAAGTGTTCAAGATGTGATCTGTGTAATCCCAGCACTTTGGGAGGCCGAGGCAGGTGGATCACGAGGTCAAGAGATCGAGACCATCCTGGTCAACATGGTGAAACCCCATCTCTACTAAAAATACAAAAAATTAGCTGGGCATGGTGGCGCATGCCTGTAATCCCAGCTACTCAGGAGGCTGAGGCAGGAGAATTGCCTGAACCCAGGAGGGAGAGGTTGTGGTGAGCCGAGATCATGCCATTGCACTCCAGCCTGGGTAACAAGAGCGAAACTACGTCTCAAAGAAAAAAAAAAAAAAAAGATGTGACCTGGCTGTGTCTAACAACCTATGGTCAGATATGGGAGCAAAGAAATGATTTAAAGTTGGAATTTATATTTCAAGGAGAAGCAGAGAAAAGTTTGGGAAATTTTTTATAGCCTGCTCATGTGGTAGAAAATGAAAGCCCATTTTTAGAAGAAGAATCCTAGCAGGCTTTGGAGCAACAATTTGCTAGAAGTTTGCATAACAAAAAATGAAGCCAACTGCTAATAACTAAAACAATGGGTAAAAGGTCTTGAAAGCATTTCAAATACCTCTGTGATAACCACTCTCATCATAGGCCTGGAGGCCTAGGAGGGAGGAATGGTTTTGGGGGCCAGGAACAGGGGAATCATTGTCCTGTGCAGCCTCAGGATACTGCTCCCCACAAGGGTGGATTCCTTAGGGCTTCGTGCTTTCCTCATGCTAGTGAGTAAGTCTCACAAGATCTGGTTGTTTAAAAGTGTGTGACACCTCCCACCCATCTCTTGCTTCTGCTCCAGCCAGGTGATGTGCCTGTTCCCGCTTCACCTTCCACCATGAGTGAAAACTCTCTGAGGCCTCTCCAGAAGCTGAGCAGATGCCAGCACCCAATGCTTGTATAGCTTGCAGAGCCATCAGCCAATTAAACTCCTTTTCTTTGTAAACTACCCAGCGTCATCTATTTCTTTATAGGAACCCAAGAATAGCCTAACACATTGTCATTTCTCTCTTAACTTTGCTTATGGTAATATTTTATTCCTCAGGCTTAGATGTCATACTTGGGTCTACAAAAATATTCTTTCATTACTTCCATTAATTCTTCTTTACTTTCATTGTTGAATATTTAAATCTTTTTTCAATGTGAAATTTATCTGGTAGGAGGTATTATTTTTTTCTTTTTCTCCAATAGCCAGCCTTATTGTCCCAACATAATTTATTGAAAAATATGTTATTTCTCCTAAAAACTTGAAACATCAATATACTCTTACATATAGTTACAGTATTCATAAGAATATGCTTAGGAGGTCTAGATAACACTAAGAAACTTAAAATTTAATGGTTTTAAAGTTTTCAGAAAGTTAACAATACTGTACTTATTACCATGAAGAGACAACAGAAAATTATCAACTTCACAGGAATCTTCAAAAGATGTCAACACAATTGCAATTCATCCAATTGGGTTGCTCTAAATGTTATAAATAATTTTAAAAGGTGAGGTATTCATTCTGAAATTTGGCTTTGAGCAAGTTCTAGATGTACTGGGTAGTATTTTTAAAAATAAATTTATATTTATAAAATTAAAAGTTGTGAAAATTGCCCTAGAGGGAAAAAAGTAATGACAACACAAATAATAACAAAATAATATTTTAGAGGTTCCTTAGATGATGATATTTAAGGAAATTTTTGCAACTAGTTTAAGAGGTAGGAAAATGGCATTCTAGGCTGAAAAAGATCACAGAAGTCAGGAAAGGAAGAACTTGGTGCATTTTGAAAGTACAAGAACACCAATTTTTGCTGAAATGTAAATATGGGAAAGAAAGGTGAAAAATGGCTTGATAGGTAGATATAGGTCAGGTCATAGAGGAATTCCTTTTGAGCATGCAAAAGATTTTGGAGTTTAACCTGCATGCAATAGTGTATTAGTCCATTTTTATACTGCTATCAGGAACTTCCTGAGACTGGGTATTTTATAGAAGAAAAAGTTTCAATTGACTCTCAGTTCCACATGGCTAGAGAGGCCTCGGGAAACTTATAATCAGGGTGGAATAGGAAGCAGGCATGACTTACATGGTGGCAGGGAAGAGAAAGAGAGAGAGAAAAGCCCAGGGAAAGCACCATTTATAAAACCATTACATCTCCTGAGAACTCTCTCACTGTCATAAAAATAGCATTGGAGGAACCTCCCACCAGGTCTCTCCTCAACACATGGGGATTACAATTCAAGATGAGATCTGGGTGGGAACACCATATAACTATATCATTCCACCCTAGTGCCTCCCAAATCTCATGTCTTTACATTTCAAAACCAATCATGCCTTCCTAACAGTCTCCCAAAGTCTTAACTTATTTCAGCATTGACTCAAAAGTCCAAGTCCAAAGTCCCATCTGAGACAAGGCAAGTCCTTTCTGCCCATGAGTCTGTAAAACCAAAAGCAAGTTAGTTATCACCAATAGGATACAGGCATTGGATAAATGTTCCCATTCCAAATGCATGAAATTGGTGAAGACAAAGGACTACAGGCCCCATGCAAGTCTAAATCTGGTCGTGGGGGCAACCATTAAATCTTAAAGCTCCAAATAATCTCCTTTGACTCCAGGTCTCACATTCTGGTCACGCAGATGCAAGGGGTGGGCTCCCACAGTCTTGGGCAGCTCCACCCTTGTGGCTTTTCAGTACAGTACCCATCCCTGCTGCTTTCACAGGCTGGCATCAAGTGTCTGTAGCTTTTCTAGGTGCATGGTGCAAGACATTGGTGGATCTACCATTCTGAGATCTGAAGGATGGTGGCCGTCTTTCACAACTCCACTAACAGTACCCCAGTGGGGATACTGTGTGGGGGCTCCAACCCCACATTTTTCCTTTGCTCTGCCCTACTAGAGGTTTTTCACCCTTGCAGTAAACTTCTGCCTGAACATCTACGCATTTCCATATATCCTCTGAAATGTAGGTGGAGGTTTCCAAACCTCAGTTCTTGACTTCCGTGCACTCACAGGCCCAACACCACGTGGAAGCCACCAAGGCTTGGGGTTTGCACCCTCTAAAGCAACAGCCCAAGTTATACCTTGACCTCTTTTAGCCCTTGCTGGAGCTGAAGCAGCTGGGATGCAGGGCATCAAGTCTTGAAACTGCACAGAGCAAGGGAGCCCTGGGCTGAGTCCTGGAAACCATTTTTCCCTTGTAGGCCTCCAGGCCTATGGTGGGAGGGGCTGCCACCAAGATCTCTGACATGCCCTGGAGACATTTTTCCCATTGTCTTGGTGACTAACATTCAGCTCCTTATTACTTATGCAAATTTCTGCAGATGGCTGGAATTTCCCCCCAGAAAATTAGTTTATCTTTTCTATTGCATGATCAAGTTGCAAAATTTTCAAAGTTTTACACTCTGTAACTTCTTGAATACTTTCCCGCTTAGAAATTTCTTCTGCCAGATACCCTAAATAATCTCTGTCAGGATCAAAGTTTCACAGATCTGTAGGGCACCAGGATCTTTGCTAAAGCAAAGCAAGAGTCACCTTTGCTCCAGTTCCCAATAAGTTCCTTATCTTATTGGGCCACAAGAAATAGCCTGACCTTCATTTTGGTCCAGGAACAGAAGGATTAGTTTGATGATGTAGGTAAGCATCAAATCTTGAAGTTCTTTATGCTGAAGTGTTTAAATGCTATCTTGTGAACTATGTAAATCAATTTTAGTGTTTCAGCATGAAAAAACAATACATATTTCAGAAAAATTACTTTGACAGTGGTATGGCAAGTGGGCAATAAGGGGACACAACCTGTAAGACAGAGAAGAAAGACTTCTGTAAATGAGCAGTTAAGAGATATAATATCAAAACTCAGTGCAAAGAAACCCTCTTCTTAATCTTCAGGAATTCAAGTCCTTATCAAAATAGGCAAGCAGAGCACTCATGCTAACAGCTCAGAGGAAAATCATCACTGCT